TTAATAATTTTTATTCTATTTTCTTAATCAATATTTTAATTGATTATAAATCTTTGTAGCCTTGTAGTTAATTAGATTTTTTAAAATACTACTCAATGTATATATAAACTTGATGAGTAGTATTTCGAGCCAAAACGAGCCGAACACGAACAAACACATCTTAGTTCGTGTTCGGCTCGTTAACTTATGGAATGAAATTAACGAGCCGAACACGAGCTGTTCACGAACAACGAGCCGTTTTGACAGCCCTACTTAACATGAATAAACTTATGTTTTAATGTGCTCAAGACATTTTGATAAGATTTAACTAAATAATTAAAAATAACTTTTATTATAATATTTTATGTTGTTTAAAAGATAACTTTTATTTTTAAATCATTAGAGCTAAATTTGATTCAAATACGGCCTAAAAAGAATAAACAAAAATGAATTGAACTAAACACAATCATATTAACGAGCTATTTCAATTGCGAGTATATTTGTACAACAAAAAAAAAAAAAGAAAGAAAAAGAAAATCGAATGAGCCAAATAAGAATAAGCACTAGATTTGCTCAACTTGACTCATTTGCACCCCTAACTCTCTCATTACAAATTATAATTTATTTCACTATTTCATATTGGATGCTTGAATTTAGTGTAATTAATAGAAGATTAAATTTATCTAAAAATATTAGAAATGTATTTTCTATTTAAAACTTCATATTAAATGACCTGTATAATAAAGGAGTTGCCTGAATGCCCCTTCCTTCCCATAAAAATACTTCCTTTAGAACAATCTCCAAGCTTGTATAATTGGTCAACAACAAGGCATTTATTATTGACAATTATAGACTATAAAAGATAAAATGATGCATTTTATATACTAATTAAGTTCAAAAAATGAAAAATGTTAGAATTTAAAATAAGAGCAATTATTAGGTGTGGAGTAAGTACATGCGAATTTCATTATATTTTAATTGTATTTATTGTACCGATACAATCAGCATAACCAAAATACAACGAAATCCATATGTGATGTCATGATTTCACGCCTCATATTTGTTTCTTAAAATAGAAGGTTTGAATGTTGTTCAAATCTTATCGGTGCAGCCGGCTCTCAAACCTAAACATCTTGACATCGTACGATTGTTTTGAACATTATTCAAATTTTGTTCAAATCATACTCAAACTTATTGAAACATTGTTCAAATCATATTTGAATTTACTCTAATTCACCATTGTTGAGGATGATTAAGTGGATAATGAGCAATACTCTCGTGTTTAATATGCGGGATAATCATCCCACCCCAAGAGGAGAGTGAATTGTTGCTGCCATTAAAAGACTGATATATCAAATTTATAATATGTTGTGCTAATTCTTATAATCATTTTAGTCGATTGGTTCAATCCTAAAATTATTTTTGTATAGTTATGACTGTACTCTATTATATCAAACTCCAATTCTAGTGTATTGTAACTTATTTGAATCATATTCAAACATTGTCTAATTTTTATTTGAACCTTACATTGAATTCATACGTTTGTGTGCGTATACCGTCAAACTTTTTTCATTTCATTAAAACAATGAAATAAATGTTTTCTTTGCATTCTATTCCCTTGAATCCCTTCAAAACGTCTAATTATTGCGTGCGGAGGGACCCACTATCATACAGCCACGATACACGGCCGTGATCCGAGAGGACCCACTGTCATATAACCGCGATGCGCGGCTATGATCAGACAGCGCACGCAGCTGCGCTCTCCGCATGCAATAATCGCTCCGTCAAAACAAACAAAGCTTCAACGTTGAATCAATACCAAATTTTGTCTTTTTATTTGCAAGTATATATTGTTTATGACTTCTATGAACACATGAACAATTTTTTAAAACATTTCATGACCTTAGGTAAGTTTGGGGATGATAGCATATTACTAAAGTTTTGCATCTAGATATTTAATACCTTAATCAAGCTTACCTAAAAATATTAAAATGCATCCCTGAACAGAATAACGGATTCCCCAAACAAAAAAAAATTACCCTTTTTCTCAAGCTACAGAACCACCAAAACAGAAATGCTGTTGAGATATATCTCCAAGACTAAGGAAAATAATTGGAAAAAGAATATCTAATACAAATGTTTCTGTTTATTATGATTATTTTTTAAAATTATATTTTACAGCAAAGCAACTGAAAAAAGAATCATAAACAATCTGACCAAACATCGGTGTAAACTGTTGCATATTTGGGCCTAATTATCATTTTATTTCAATTAGATAAAGAGAATTCAACAAAAAGAAGTTTGCTACGGTGATCTACCTGTACTCCTGAAAGTTCACATGCCCTGTAGCTTGTGCATGCTCAACAGCCTCCTGCATTTCAATGATATTTACGAAATACATATCTTCAAAGAATTGAGAGGGAGAGGGAGAGGGAGAGGGAGAGGGAGAGCAGTGGACCTTTTGACCAATAACGCCAATTTGGCACACTCCACAGCGCAAGGTGAAGTTTGCAGTATCAGTGAATTTTCTCTTTCTGAAATGCAGCAATTTTGGTTAGCTGAGATAAACTCTAGATGGTATAACTGTCAAAAGTAAAGTGTTAGATATGTAAATACATACGATTTGGGCGGTATGTATGTAAATGCCCCAAAATATTATTAACCATTTTACTGGTGTTAGGTGGGTGAGAGTATTGGATTTCGTTTTCGCATTTGATGGTTGAAAAAATAATGGTGTAGAAATATTAGCAATTGGTTATCACTTAACTCTTTTTTTTTTCAGCTGGAGATGAGTTTGAATACTAATATATCAAACTCAACTTAAATTTCCTATTGATCCACAATCACTAATTAGTATTAAAATTGATGATATGGTTGGAGATAAATTGGTTCATGCAAAATTTGTGGCTGAATCATGGTTGAGCAATATTCAAGAGCATATGACACCATAATCACACTGATACTGGAGTTTACCCAAACCACAATAAGAAAAATAAAAATTATTATTAGAAACAAAAAGACGGTTACAATCAAACACGTTTGAAAGGAAAATTACAACACACGACACGTAAACTCATATTAGGGTGGATTATGGATGATGGTGGTGATGATAAGGGGGCTTAGCGCGGTGATTATGGATGGCTGAAACAACAGGGCAGCAAGGGACGATAGTCCAAACAATGACAGTTTGTTGTTTGGGCAACAAGAAAATAGCAAAGAGGAGGCGTTGCAGTATTGGCAGCAAGAAACAGTTGGTCAGGCGGCTGGAGCAACAGAAAATAGCCAGGAACAGCTATTTCCGAGTGGCAGCAGCGAGCGGCAATGATGGCGGCAACGGCGGTGAAGATGTTGAACCGCGGGACAACAAAAAGAGAATTGTTCTGGGATTGTGGCAGTGAGGAGGATGACTGGACGATGAGCAACTGCAAGAAAAATAGTAACAGGCTGTCAGGGTGGCTGCAGTCAGGAGGAAGGCACGGTAGTGAAGCGAGAGGGATGCGGGAAGAGTAGGGAAGATAATCACCACCTGGAAACCAAGTTACAGTCGAAGAACCACCTATAACCCTAGGATACAGCCCTCGAAGGGAAGAAGAGATGTCGGCGGCTGTCCTGATACAAAAGACATAAAAACTAAATCTAGAACATCAGAAAAGCAAATATATAATAAAAGAATAGTGAAAAGTGCCTCAAGAGGGCCGAACGACTCCATAATAGCAAAAAAACTTGGACCGGTTCAGTCCATGCAAGAAAATGAAAGCCCGCCAGGTCGTAGGACTATAGTAGATCGCTATACACGGTCCTGTAGTAATTTGCAGCACTGTAGGAATGTTGCTGAAATGAGGGGTTTTCCGGATGCTCCAGTATCAATCTCCCGGAATTGAGGGAGCTTCGATCTCATTTGTCGAAGTTTCTATCTCATAGTAATCAGATCGCCCCATTAATTGTAGTGAATATGTTGCAAGCTCCGCTCCCAGTAAGTCAATCATGTAATCATTGTCATTCCAACGAACATCCTTATATAATAAGTATCCATCCACTTTTGACATAACTTGAGCTGAAACTACAAAACGACGTAGAGATCCAGTTTTATTCTCTGATCTTCACTTCACAGAATGCAAACAAAGCTGTTGACAAAGCAGAAAGGAGACAAAGACGTCGTGGAACGCATACGAGGGCAAAAAACAAACAATTCAACAAAGCTCTGAAACCATGTAACAGAATATACTTCCTTCTTTCTTATTCACATATGAAAACATATATTATATTTTTATACACACTTCAAGGTTGTCTAATATCAAGTTTTTTAATATAAATTCTTCCTAATATACAAGATTCAGATTTATGACTTTCCATAACAAACAAAGCACACTCCAAAAATAAACAGCTGTGAAAAAAATGCCAATTACCCATCAAAGAAATCAAAGTCTTATTCTTACCTGTGAGCATCCGTCACCAGACTGAGAACAAGGCCTTCCACAGGCCCAACGGTACGGTCCGAATATACAGTAAAAATTGTCTGATCAAAGTCTTCCGGGGCATTGGCAGAAGGAGACATCTGATTGATGCATAAATATATAATACACATATGGGAAATTTACATACCACACAATTCTTATGTATTTACATATCTAACAGCAAAAGTTTAATATTTACACTTATAACACTTTAGTTTCATATGGCTACGCATGAAAAAAAGATGAAGTTCACTTTTAAAAAGTTAAGAATGGTGATATTTTTATGTGACGTTAAGGATTTGAGTGCAATGGATGTAAATGAGAAAGTTTCAGTGTTAGATATGAAAATACATAAGAATTGTGTGTATGTAACTGCCCCTAAGAATATATACATTTTGAACAACAATATCAATGAGTCAACAGAGGAAAACTTACAGCTAATGCATCATAGTGCAGACCATCATAAAGCAGCATCACTCTTTCACCATACCTTTTTGACTGTTCCATCATTCAATAGATACCATGATTCACTTTGCTATCCAATAAGTTAAAAATGTAATTATCAAATTCTGAATTACACTAACCTGACCATACAAATCACAGCGAGTGGTTTGAATATCGTATGCCGCAATTTCACGTCCGAAATATTCCGATAATATTGAAAGCTCGATTGCACCTTTCAAAGCAACCATAGTTGAATCAATTCATTTGTCAGATTAAACATTTAAAAGCATTTGTAACTAAGTGTCGATTGATTAACAGGATGGAATCAATTGGGGAAAAATAAATTAAGATTTACATACATACCATTCAATTCCTATGTATTTGCATATCTAACAACTAAACTTCAATTCTTACATACATAACACCTTAATAAAAATGTGTATTCACTTTTTTTAAAAGTTTAAATGGTGGTATTTTTTATGTGATATGAAAGATTTGGGCTGTAGTATTGTAAAAAGTGAAGTTTGGGCATTAAATATGTAAATACATAAAAATTGGGTGGTCTGTACATAAATGCCCCAAAATAAAAAATGACTGCAAAGGGACAATGAAACAAAGAAAAGAAAGTTTCGGCGGCGTTTGAGCTGGTGATTGATCCCGATTTTTTTAATGTAAGAATTTATGAAGTTGACACCACTGCAGCGCCAAAAACTTGATCATTGTATGAAAAATAAGTTGTGTAAAATATATATAATTATAGATAATTAATAATGGGATTCTACGCAAGTATATGTATCGTTATCAAGTAATAATGAACTTTCTATTTAATTCCCAAATATCGATCCCACGGGGAAGGTGTAAGTTAGCAATAATAAATTTTATCATGAAATTTACTGAAAATCAAACGAAATCACTGTCACTAATTTCGAATGTTGAGATATTAACCAAACTAAATTACTTAACTATTAGCAAAACTGAAATGCAAATTTTTAATAATAACTACTAATCTACTAACTATGTTTATGTAATGAAGGTTTCTTATGTGAAAAAACATCCTTCCCACTACAATGAAATTCTGGTGAAATGAGATGAGATAAATGTTTATAATATGTATTGTGCCAAATATAAACAATTTTAATTCTCTACTCTGATACAGTGCATAGAAAATCATTGGTTAATCTTAGGTTTAGTCCCTAAATCTGTGGTTAGGCTAGGAGGATACCGGCTCCCACTCCAGAGCTTCCGCTTCCCTTCATCTGAAGGTTAACTCTCGCTTTAGTTTTTAAACACTAAGACCAAATTGGGGATTTTAGTCTGTCATCCTAAAGATTCTCTAATTCTGCACACAACAAAAAATATTTCTCTATTTATTTGCACTTAATTTCATGAACGAATTTCTCCTTCATGAAATCAAATGTGATCCTCACTCTGTCGTAGAACGCATACTCAACGTACTCTGTCGTAGAACGCATACTCAATTTTCTGGATCATATGTTTCACAACATATTTTAACAAATCAATTGACCAAAATGAAAAGTAAATTAAGTTCGAAGTTGAAAAATCATCACAATTTATTTTATATTTTAATTATGACAAATTCATACTATTTCTTCATTTCTCCGGATCTCAAAGTAGAGGGAAAGATAGAGGAAACTAAGACTTCATGAGAAATATACGATAAAACACAAATTTCATAAATAAAAGAAAGTTCATACAACATTAAATGAACAAACAAACCTATCTGAAACTCTTTCTCAAAGCAAATCTTTTGTAGCATTTTCTTAGAAACGCAAGAAGAAGAATTCTCACTTTTCTCCTTCTCAAACACTTTTACAGAAATTTTCACACTAAATCTCATTAAAAAAACTCTAAACTATGAAAGCAAAATTACTAATTGACTCCAATATGTGGTGTGGAATGAAGATGGATTATGGAAATGTAGCGTGGTGGAATGTTGTAGAACGAAAAATGAACATAGAGGAGCCCCTTTTCTGATGAAATTTGGCCCCAAATAAAGCCCAAGGTCGGTTCTCCAAGAGGTGTCTCCAAAAACTCTCCAAAAAAGGTTCTCCAAGAGGTGTCTCCAAAAACTCTCCAAAAATGGTCCAAATACATCAAACCTTCTAGAAACGGGGTAACCGCCTTTAGTGTCGTCGACGCTGAGTAAAAATCCTCCAGCTTTCGGTTGATTTGCGTCGTCGGCGCTGACCTTGGCGTTGTCGGCGCTGAGTAATTCCTCAAAAACGTCATTTTGAATCCAAATTTAATCTTTTTTGCTTCATTTTTGTTTTAAGCCCTAAAAATCAACAACCTGCAAGAAAACATCAAAATACTTTCCATTAAAGTGCAATATCACCAAAAATAGGTCTAAAATATGGGTCTAAAAATACATATATTTTCAGTGTATCAGCGATACAACCAAAAAATTCAAAAAGAAATTTTAATCAGAGCTCGAAAAGTTCAAGGTGGAAGAACCATGAAAGAAACAGAATGGTATTGTTCTTGAAGAACTTCAAAATTAAAAATGAAGTTTTAAACTCAAGGCTGATTCCAATAGAGTTTATTTTTACTTAATTTTAGTTACATAAAACTTGAACCTTTTAAGGTATATTATGATACAAAAATAAAGGGGTCTTGAAATACAACAGGAAGAACTACCGATGGCAAAAGGACAATAGGTGCAATAACAGAATAATAATAATAATAATAGTAAGATCCTGACGGTCTGAGGAAATGCATCCATTCAATTATAACAAATCTTTCTTATCCCTCATTCGAACAAATGAATGCATAACGAACGAGGAAGAGTAAAGGAAGCCACATAGGAGGAGGCGACGTCAAAGAACTACTTGGAACGAGCAGCAACTGAAGGTGTGTTGTCGTCACGAGAGAAGCCGAAGTAGCGCAAGGAAGCAGCAAACATCGAGTGCCACTATTAGGGTTGTTGAGCCTTCCGAAAGAGAAGAGAGGAGATGACGTTTGGCACTGTGCTCGCATAGCAGAGGAAGGGGAGTATGCTTTGAGTCAAGACCGAAGGTAAAGAGGAAAACAAATCGAACTTCTTGAGGCTTTGTTCGCATATAAAAAGAAGAGAAGGGGAGTTGAAGTCAATGAGTCAATCCTTGCTTCGTCAGGTGCATAGAAAGGAAGGGGGTTGCGCCTGCGCTCTGCTAAGGGAAAAATTATTCCATACAGGCAACGTATGGAAGCGGTTAATGCTGATTATAGTTGATTATGGTGATGATATTATGACTCAATTATATCAGTTGGCGGTGCAACCAATTCAAAAGGGCAAAATTGGAGATTCTTTAGCTATAGATGGCAATATTTAGAAAGTTCTGAAGCAGATTCAGGCAGGCAATTTGGATAGATATGTGATAGATCATGATGGTCTACTGAGGTATAAAGGCAAGGTTTATGTTTCGGATGTTGATGATCCGAGGGGAAAAAATTTGGAGGAAGCACATCTATCCGGATATACTATTCACCCAAGAAGCAATAACATGTAACAAGATCTCAAGAAGCATTTTGGTGACCAGAATTGAAGAGAAGTGTGGAAGCATCTGTGCTAATGTGTCCATCATGTCAGCTAGTGAAGGAAGAGCATTAGTGTCCTAGATATCAGTTACAGCCTTTGTCGATTCCAAAGTGTAAATATCAGAAGATTGTGATGAATTTTGTGATTGGTTTGTCTAGATCTTGTCAGGATTGTGATGCCATATGAGTAATTATCGATCGACTAACTAAGTCTGCCCATTTCTTACCTATTAGACAAAAAGATCCAATTGAGAAGCTAGTCAAATTATATGTGGATCAAATTCTAAGTTTGCATGGAGTGTCAAAATCTATTGTGTCTGACAGATATGGCAAGTTTACTTCCAAATAATGGAAGAAATTTCAGGAAGCTTTAGGTACTCGATTGACTTTCAGTACAACATTTCACCTCAAACAGATTGTCGGTTGGAGAAGAGTATCCGGACTTTGGAAGATCTACTAAGGTTATGTGTCCATAACTTTGAGGGAGGTTGGGAATCACATATACCTTTAGTAGAGTTTGCATATAATAACAGTTACCACTCTAGTATTGGGATGGCTCTATATGAAGTCTTGTATGGAAGGAAGTACAGGACACCTCTATGTTGGGCTGAAACACATGAAAGAAAGATCTTTTGAGCTAATTTGGTTGATGATGCTACTGAGAAGATTAGACTGATCAGAGATATACTGAAGACAGTACAGGATAGACAGATAAAATATTATGACGCCAAACACAGATCTGTTGAGTTTGAAGTTGAGAGTTTGTATTTATCAAAGTCAGTCCATTGAATGGTGTGCAACGTTTTGGGAAGGAAAATTGAGCCCAAGATTTGTCGATCCATTTGAGATTGTGGAGAAAATTGGTACAGTGGCTTACAAATTGGCTTTAGCGACACATATGCATGGAGTGCATCGTGTTTTCCATATTTCTTCACTAAGGAAGTATATTGCAAATGAAGCTAATAGGGTGATAGTAGATTTAGTTGATATTCAGCATTACCTGACTTATGTCAAAGAGCCTGAAAAGATTCAGGAGTATAATGTGAAGAAGTTGCGGAACAGATAGATCTCTTTTGTGAAGATTTTATGGAAGCACGGGTCGGAGAATGATACTACTTGAGAAAAGGTCTCTGAAATGCAAGAAAGATATCCACATCTTTTTGGTTGACGTATGTTGTTTTATTTTAATTCTTTTCAAATTTTGAGGATAATATTTTATAAGGAAAGGAGATTGTAATAACAAAATAATAATAATAATAAGAATAAGAATAAGAAGATTATGACGGTCTGAGGAGACTCATCCCTTCAGTTATAACAAATCTCTCATTTCCCTCATTCAAACAAATCAATGCATAACGAGCGAGGAAGAGTAAAGGAAGCACATAGGAAAAGGAAGAAGCGAGAAGTTGTGATTACTGTACGACTTTGTGCCCTAGCCAAAAAGGAGGAAGAAGGTGAAGGAAGAGGTGACAACAAAGACCTACTTGGAACGAGCCACAAGCGAAGACGTGTCGCCTTCGCAAGAGAAGTCGAAGTAGCTCAAGGAAGTAGCAAACCTTTCGTGTCACTATTAGGGTTGAGCCTTGCGAAGGAGAATGAGACGAGATGACCTTTGGCACTATGCTCGCATAGCAGAGGAAGGGGAGTTTTCTTTGAGTCAAGACTGAAGGTGAAGAGAAAGACGAGCCAAACTTC